AGGATTTTACCTCCATAATTCAAATCCCAAAGCAAAGCAGCCCGCTGCACTTACTCGCAGCTCCCAGCCTGTGTGCACGCACGCGCGCGCCGAAAACACCTCGAAGCACGCGCGACGCGACGCGACTCCATCAAAGCGAGGCGTCGCGTCTAGCCCCCGCGTGCATGGTGACACATTCGGCCTGGAGAGATGTTTTAAGAGCTGTTCTGGTAGTCTGGGCGAGGGTGGGAATAAACTAACTAAGCGACAGCATTACTGAGCCCGTAACGTGTCATCAAAGCCGTGCGGGGTTCAGCTGCGAGCCCTGCCTCGAACTAGCCTCACTTCTGCATTTCCACATGCAAACTCGTGCTCGAGCTCTGGACACGGCCCAAAAAGCACAGCGCGGCCCGGCCTGCAAAAGCTGCTTATATGGACCGTGTTGGCTGGAGAAAAACACAGGCAGCCATTTTAGAGCAGCCTGAGAAACAATGGCAGACCCGCTCCTCTCCTCCGCTCGCGCAGCTCGAGCCGAGCGCCGAGTTCAGCTAAGTTTACCTGCGTCCTGCTGAGGGCCTGCCCGGTGTTTCCCGGGCTCATGGGAGGAGGGTGATGGCTTCTTTGTTGCCAGGCCGGATGGCCCCCACCGAACTGGCTCACGCTACCCATGTCCCCCGGTGCCTTGGCAGCCGCCTCCTGGCCGCCAGAATATAAATAAAGGTCCCGGGAATGATTTTAACCGACACCCGTGTGTGTGTGTGTGGAGGGGGGGCCTCTTACAGAGCGAGAGCGCGAGAGAGAAACCGATCAAACCAGCACGAGGCTCCGCGAGACACAGCCATTTTACCGAAGCGCGCGGTCGCATGCAAGCCGCGGCGCGGATCCGGATCCGGAGCGCCTCGACACGCTTTGGGCTCCAGCTCGTGGAACGAGCACAAAATAGGTCCGCGAGCCTCGGCTTTTATTGTGACATAATCCATGACATACGCATCCTCCTATATTTACTAACTGAATCTAGAGTATTTTTTCAGGCTTTAAAAAAAAAAAATACATAAAAAAAGTGCTGTGCAAATGCAATTAAAAAAATCCAAACTACATTTTTCTTAAGAAGCTGTGGCCATGCAAAGCTCACTTTTACAGTGCAAGGCTGCTGTGGGTGGTTTCCAGCAGGAGGGGAAATGCAGTTGCTATGGTGCTCGAGGTGTGTTGCTAGGTTGCTGTTAAGATGGTAACTAGGTGAATGGGTGCCGGCCCACCTCCATGTACTGGTGCTACTGCCCCTCTTATAGTCTAAGCCGGCATTTATTCACCTGTTTATCACCTGCCAAGTGAAAATATAGCTGCGTCCCAAATTACACGTTATACACTGTGTACTGTAGTGTATGACTTAAATAAGGGTATTCTTCCTAATCAGAGTCTGATAGCCTCCCCCTTCGCTAGTAATTAGAGCTGTGACAGCTGAGTGCATGAAGTGTCCCACACGCCTCACTTCGCTTTTCCGGTTATTTAAGTGCATCATCCGGGTATTTAAAGACTACTCACTACTCGCACTAGTCACACTGCAAAATGTCTTCAAACAAGCAAAACTAATGACTGTTTTCAAACAGGTTTCATGAGCACAACTCCTGCCAACCATTGGTCAGGCAAAAAGATAATCCCGCCCCAGACTGACGCTATTGGTCGAAACCATGCTGCGGTGTTGGGCTGTCATGACGTTATTTTAATGTGTTTTATCACTTATTTATTCATTTATCAAATTATTGTTTATTATTGTTATAAGTTTTTTAGTTTAATTTTGCTGTTTTTTATTTTTATTAGTTTTTATATTTAGCTTTATTTTATATTTATTTTAGTTTTAGTAATTTTAGTACTTTCAACTTATCTAATTGAAATGTTATTTCAATTAGTTGCCAAGGCAACATTTTTCATTTAGTTTTTATTTAAGTTAATATTTTTCATCTAATGTTTATATTTAATATTATTTCAAATATATAAATATTTTTATTTCAGTTTTTATTTCAACTTTAGTCATTTTGTCTGTCGTTTTTATCAGCTTTTGTTTTTTAATATTTTTATTTAGCTTTATATTTATTTCAGTGTTTTAGTAATTGTAGCACTATTTTAGTACACATTACACACCTTCTCCTTGTTAGTTGCTAAGGCTACATTTCTAATTTAGTTTTTTTACGTTTAAATTGTTCACCTAATTTTTATATTTGATTTTATTTCCGTTAACGAAAATAATTTGGAAAAGTTTTCGCCGTAGCTAACAATAACAACACCAGCAGGAATAACAGTGTCCGTGTTTACGCTTTTCATGGAAATCATAGACGTGTCTCAGTATATTAAGCTCAGACACAACACAGGAGTTTAAGGTAAAACATTTCACACTTTAATGTTTAGGATTAAGGGTTTCTTTACACCGCTAATAGCGGAATAAAACAATTATACAGCAAATAATACCTGAACTGTTCTCATTCCATCATAGTACAGATCTATCACATGAATGCAGAGCAAAGCATTGCTACATATTCAACACATAAACAAGTGTTTAGGCCCAAGTGTGTTCATGCATGTTTCAGACAGCAAATGAGAGGGTTTATTGCAGCAGCATTATGTTTGATCTGTGCAGAGGACAGCATGATATTACAGCCTGTGTGCTAATGTGTATGTGCGCATGTGTTCAGAGAGCGAGCGAGAGAGGGAGGGATGGAAAGGGAAAGAGGATGGGGGATGGACCGAGAGCAGGAAGTGAAAATGAAAAAAGTGAAATGCAGCACAAGCCAGAGAGAAAGAGAGAGAGAAAAACACTGCGTAGGCCGCAGCAATCAAGTCTGGCACACCAAATCCAACAGCGCAACGTGTATCTGGTTTGGTAAAGAGATAGAGGAGAGCTTAGAGACAGCACAAAGTAAATAACCAAATGGAAACAGCCATGCTCTTTCCCCCACTCAAACACTGCCCCTCTCTCCCCACCCCCTCTCAT